GCAGCAGCGTGCCTAGTTTGCCGAGGGGCAGCCGAGGGTTTGCGGGGGGCGAGCGGGCGCCGTCCGGGCCTCCGCGGCTCTGCCGGGACTCGGTGTTGCCGTCTCCCGTTTCGCCGCTCCTGCAGGCACAGTGCAGGTAGGATTCACCGCCGCGGCCTGAATGTGCACATCCCGGTGCTGCTGGGCGTCTTGCCCTGTACTTATCCGTCGCATGGAACCCGCTTTGGTGAAATGCTGCTTTGTCTTTGGACCATTTTGTAATTGGCTTTATTTATTTGTTTTTATTTACTTTTTGACTGCTGAGATTTGACAGTTTTATATGTGTTCAAGAAAAAACTCCTTTGTGTCAAGTTTTTGTACTCTATTCTAACTTTTTTCAAATAGTTGAACATTTTGATTTTTAACATTCCCTCTGTGATGTTGTTATACATACACCCTCTTATTTTGCTTTAATTGTTGCCTGAGCATCATGCCGTATGTCTCCGTCCTTCAAGCTGCTGTAACAAAACACAGCAGATGATAGCAGCAAGCAAGGAGCAGACACGTGTTCGCGCAGCCTGGGAGCCGGAAGTCCTAGACGAGGCGCCGGCGTCCTGGTGGAGCTCTTTGATCAAGACCCCGCCCTGGCTCACGCGCGCTGTCTTCTCGCTCTGCCCCCCTGTGGTGGAAGGGACCAGGGATCTCTCGGGAGCCCCTCCTGCAATCACTGATCCTGTACCCAGGGCTCCACCCTCCCGTCTTAAGCGTCCCTGAAGCTCCGCCCATCAGTCCATCACATTGGTCATCGGGGTTTCAGACCACAGCACCACACAGACATGATTTATGACTGTTCAATGCAATTTACTATTTTTGTCTTTTTCAGAAAATGCTAGAAACTTAGAACACTTTAGCTAACTCCTTTCTTTCCTGTCCTTGGGCCTATTTCTGATGAGCTCTGATTCATGTGTGCAGCCTAAGTTCCTGAAGATATTTTATTATCATAGCGTAACTATTCCTCAGCAGTGACCCACCTTTAACCTTTCTTTTGTTCGTCTTTATTTGTTTTGGTTCTATTTTTCTTTTGCCTTAAGAACTTTTTAAAAATATTTCTATTAATGGCATTTTTAAATGTATGAATTTGTTTTGTTTTGTTTTTACTTTTAAAAATGTATGTAGTTGCATGGAGTAGAAGTGTTCAGCTTAAGCAATTGACGAGAAAAAAGAATTTCCATGAGTGCAGATGAATTCTGACATTTTTACTTTTATGGCACCCCAGCACAATTGAATTAATTACACTCGATAAACATGACAGTAATAATCAGTTACAGACCCAGCACTGTTCTGAGTGGATCGCACAGCAGTTCACATTCAAGAGCTAACTTATTCTTCACTCATTGCCTAAAAAAATATTTTTTAACATTTTTTTAATTGAGTTTAGTCATTTTACAAAGTTGTGTCAAATTCCAGTATAAAGCACAATTTTTCAATTATACATGGACATACACATATTCATTGTCCCTTTTTTTGCTGTGAGCTACCACAAGATCTTGTATATATTTCCCTGTGCTATACAGTATAATCTTGTTTATCTGTTCTGCATATGCCTGTCAGTATCTACAAATTTTGGACTCAATAAATATTGCTTTAGTATCTGTACGTGGGAAGTGTTGAGGTTGAGGGACAAAGCTGCCATGTTCATTTTCCACCCAGAGAAATCAGAGGTCAGAGAGTGGCATGAACTTAAGTTCTGTGCAGTCACCTTACAGACAATGAACAGAGTGGGAGGGACGTGCAGGGCTTGTGTGGGGATGATGAGTCGCCAAAATTCAAATCGGGAGATGAACTGGTGATTCCGCTTTGGGAGACAGGTAACGAAATGTGGAAGAGCTTCTGACGAACCTCAGCCAATGGTGGCGGTTTTGAGCCAGGAGCCGGGACGGACCGTGCATCAGGCAGAGAGCACACCGAGGTGGCCCCACGGCGGAGACGCCCCTGAACTTGCTGCTGGTGGACTGAGCTCAGTGTGAAACAGAGCAAATGGCTGGAATCACTGGCCCCATGGTCTCCTTTCATTTTGCCCTTTGCTTCATCATCTCTCCAGTAATTAATAACCAACTCAGGAAAAGTGGCTTATTTTTCAAATACTGTTTGAGTCGGTTCTCTCCAGGAAGAGATGCCCTGCCCTGAAACATTCTGACCCTTATTTGAGTATCTCGAGACCCTTCCTCCGTCCCTGCCTGCAGCAGCATCGCACCTGCTCTAACCCACTGCAGACAGGCCTTCGCAAAGTACCAACATGAGCCTCTCACGCCAGGGCCCTGTGCTTCCCAGGGCTCTCCCTGCCCGGGCCAGGTGGCGATGCTGAGCTGGCGTGCAGGGCCCGCTTCCATCGCAGCCATCGGGCTTCACCTAGTCGCTGCCCTGTGACTTGCTACTTCCCCAGACGCACGTTGTAGCGACGACCACACTTCTCTCAAACTGCCATGCTTGTAAGAGGCTGACGTTCGTCTTTGGAGTCCTTCCCTCCTGTCTGAAGGGTGTGCCTTCTCGCCTTTCCCGCATCTAAGCCATCCATCCCGTGGGACCCGAAACCCTGCAGGGATCTGACCACCTGCTCCCTCGTAATCTGTGAAGGGAGGCGGCACTGAGCCACACCCTTCCTCACCCTTTATGAACCCCTTTAGCCAGCTGCTTCATTCTCACTCTCCCCGACACAGGTTTGTTTCAGTCCCACATCATCTCATCTTTGGCCAGTTACCCAAACTGGTCCAACAGGGCCACTCCCTCCCTCCACACGAATCGGACCGTGCAGCCAGTCCTCCGTGGGACGTTCGGCTGCGGGTCCCGTGGACTCTGAGCTGCTCACACGAGGCTCACACCCTCCTCCTCGGGCTGGCCTGCCTCTCCGTGGGCTCCCCGCTGCCCTTCGTGGACAGGGGATCCCCGCCGCTGCAGACTTGCACATTTTGGTCTCTCCACCTCTTCCTCGTGCTGAAAATGCCTGCTCCCTCTGCCTTCGCCTGTTCACTCCTCACAAACTGAACATCACATACACCTGCCTTCATGTGGTCTAAGAGCAGCAGTGAATCCAAGCATGCACCACTTAACCGAGCGCACAAGAAGTGCATGCATATTCATGGGGATCCTGCTGTGCTGAAAAGTAGTTATGAATGCTTGGTGTGTGGTGTATTTTTCATATAAAGGGAAACTAAATTTGAATTTTAAATGAATAAACCTAGTTTAAAATTCAGCAACACTGGAGAATAACTTTTATTGCCAGAAAAGTGATCAGGAATCCTTAGAAAAATATAAGACAATATTGAGCAAAGAGTGGGAAAAAACCCTGCACTCAGAAGTCTAGGTTACCCAACTCTAGCCATGCAACTGCTTTCTTTCAGCAAGTGAGTGTGTGTGTGTGTGTGTGTGTGTACAAAGAATTGTCATTTAGCCCGGGGACCCTCAAGGCTACAATAATTGTGGCTAAAGTTTAATGTCTCACAGCACAAAACCGAATTAACAGGTAATGCATCTTATTGATTTCAGAGAGCGTACGATCAAACAAGATGAAACACATAAGTTTTGGCTTGACAATTTCTGATTATCTTGACCCAAAAATGACATTTTCTGAAAGCTGCAGACACCGCCGCGCACTGCCGCTGCCCCTCAGTGCTGGGTGACAGACGTCGTCACTGAGCTGCCCCAGACACCGCAGTCGGGACCACATGGCGGTGGTTCATTTGCGAGCTTCTGTGATACGTGAAAGCGTCTGGGTCCTACCAGTTACTGCATAAATTCTGACTGAATCCGTAAAGGATATTTTGCTCATTTTCTTTTAGGGAAATCGAGGCACAACGAAGTAGCCTCAGTTGCCAGTGTTCTTATTTATTCTAACAGAGGCAGGAATGGGGCCCAGGCTGCCGTCCTTACGCCCCGTCTGCCTTCCAAGAGGCCACATGGAAGCAAAGAGCCCGTTCAAATGCTTCGCTCGTATTCCTGAAAGGGTTTCTGACAAACCCGCCAAAAAGTGGAAACATCGTAGACGGTGATGTATGTTGGCAGCTTAGCCCGGGTTTACGAAAGGTCAGTCTTCAGACTGACTCTGCGTGGAGACGTCGCGGCGCGTGTGACTGCACGGACGGCAGACTGGCTCCGGGGCGCTGGCTTTAACCAACCGAGGTACCCAGGCGCCGCGACGCATTTACAGCAGAGAGGACGGCGATGTTCAGGACAGACTGCAACTTGCGGTGCATGAAGCAACGGTTGTGATGACCAGCGAGCAGAGAGAACCGTGTGCGACTAAATGCAGACTGGTTCCCGCACGGAGAGCTGAGCTTCCGTGCACTGCAGATCTCTCGCTCACTCTTGAATATCAAAATTAAGTTAAGAAATTCAGGTCAAGTTGCAATATTCTTCTTGTGCTTAGCGTATTCTTTTCTTGTCACAAATTCAAAAGAACGTCATTTCAAAGAGAGGAAGAATAGTTGTCCCTTCTTAGGCTTTTTGTGTATTTTTAAGAGCAAACGAAAAAGAATATTTGAACACTTCCTGTTATCAGTAGAAAGCGCTTGGTCTGCAGCAGGTTTCTCTGGAGATGTTCATAATGTGGATGCAGGGTGCCCGGATGGGAAAGGTTTGCCTCGCGTCCAGTTCTGAGACCGGACCAGTCTCGTGGGACGGGAGAGCGAAGCGGCCCCCGTGGTGGTCCTGGGCCAGACACATGCCCCTCGTGTGGGGTCTTTGCTTGTGGAGATGAAATCACGTGTAGAATCTACAAACCCCTACTCAAAAAACTCAGAAGAGAGAGAAAAACTATTTAATTGGAGAAAAACATATAAATGTATGCCATTTACATCACATTTTGAATACTGAATTAAAGAATTTTTCTATTGCTTCAAAACGGGCTGGGATTTAAATATAATTTGTGCATTTTCTGAAGTATATTGTGTCGCGTCACAGAGTAATTCTCAAACATGAGGATTTGGCTACTTTTCATTCATTTGGGGTTTTCTTTAAATCTATTCCTCTCCATTAAGCTTATATCGAAACATGCAAGAGCCTGATACAGGAAAAAAAGTGAACAATTAGAGCTGTAGGAAGCTGCTTTAAATTCTACAGCACTTTTGTCAATGGCTCCATTTAATTTTCTCTAACAACAACAAAAACAGCAAAATCTCAGTGGAGGATTATAGAGACACTTAGGCCGACTGCTGCATTTTAAGTCAAGCGTGGTGGTCGTGCACCACACGCACGTAAACTTCAAATGTGAGTATTCAGAGCAGGTGAGGAGCTATGAACCTCTTGTCCCAAACCGCTTGAGAAGGTGGGTAACAGCTGGTTCCACAGCTGACAACATGCTCCAGCTCCTGACGTCACGTGGTATGATGCCCAGTCTCTGGGTGTGTGGCTTTTGTGTGTCCATTCTGTGACATCAGAAAATGCACTGAAAAATGGCAAGAGGAGGCGATGGTACCCAAAACGATAAACACCAACATGTGATTCCATGGCACGCGGGGAAAGAAGCCCCGTCAATGTCTTAGCTGTTTTCCACTTACGTAACGTACATTTGACATCTCAGAGGTTTTCCAGATCCATCTGAATCTCAGAATGCTTTCTCGTACCTCAGAATCGTGTGTTGCCTGCATTCATCCTGAGGGCTCCTTTTAAAAACATATTTTTATGAGAAGTAAGCAAATATGAATTTGAAGCTGCATTTATACTGTTTGAAAGAAGAGCTTTCGAACAGATAACTATTTCAAGTTGCTAAGAGACAAGCGAGATGATGCTTCGGTCTAATTTGTTGTGACATCTCCGCAGGCAGAACGCTTTTCAAGTCACGGCAGTGGACGGGGTCTGCAGCGGAACCCTCCAGTGCCTCTCGGCTGAAGACTGCAGTGAGTGGCTGCAAGCAATAGCGACGAACATCTCCAACCTCACAAAGCACAATGTGAGTAGTGATTGCAGAACACCTGCCAGGGTTTACCAGCCTTGGTGGATTTCTTCGTATAATACGGATGTAACTTTGCATCAACTGCATGGTATTTGTCTAAGAATGGGCCACTGCACATCCATCGTAAAAGCCATTGTGGATACTGGTTTGAAGAAAATCACTCTGTCCTGAGAGTCTTAGTCCAGTGTATCAGCCCAAGAGTGCTTTTGCATCTAAGCTTCACAAACATTGCAGTGTTGACATTAGTTAAACGACTGGAAGTAGACATTTGGCATGTGATCACTAAAGCATCTGTCTGTCTGCCTGTCCGCTCGAGAGATTAGCCTGCATAAAAATAAATTAGAAATGCATGTAAAGTAAGTTTAAAAGTAAGAGGATCATGCTATAGAGATGAGGTCAAATGACTAGAAGGAAAAGAGGAATATTAAAGTAATAGTATTTTAGGAACACTTAAATAATGAATCATGTTTTAGTGTATGGACCGTTGGAGGATGGGTGCAGGAGGAACTTAGAGGGAAAAAAACAAAAAAAGAGAAGACAACAGCTGCAATCACTGAAGCAACGTGCTGGCCGTTGTCTGTTCCCTTTGCTCGCCGATTCCCAGCAGCAATAATTGTGTGAAATAGGGAGATTTTCATAGTGTTTTATGTGGAAATTCCTTGTAATTATGTTGCTCAATGAATTTTTTTCCAGAAGGTTATTGAATATAAAGTGAGAAAGATTTAGACAAAATGATTTTAATTTTACTTTACCATTATTCAAGGTGGCTCTGAAATAATTACGTGCATTTGGTAAACATGTCTAGTGGAAGATGGTGCTTCTGGGAGATGTGTCTCAAAGCTGGGCTTCACGGAAGCACGTTCCTTTTCCTCAAGTTATATGCTTTCCCTGCAGAGAGGGAGGGTGACCGAGGCTGGGGCTTCCTGGAATGGGTTCCAGCTAAGCCGAAACCGGTTCCCATTGGTCGTGTGCTGTTATTTTGGGTGAAGTGGATTTGAACAGATTTGTGAAGGTAGAATTCAAGAGTTGTGAAAAACAGTGCTTGCTTCAGGTTAATCCTCTAATTCAGCTACACACACACACACACACGTATATTCTTTTTCACTTTCTTTTTCATTAGAGGTTATTATAAGATGTTGAACGTAGCTCCCTGTGCTGCACAGAAGAGACTTGTTTGTCTATTTCATACTTGGTAGGTAGCATCTGCGAACCTCCCACCCCCAGCGTATCCCTCCCAGCTCCCCTTCCCCCGGTAACAAGTTTGTTCTTTGTGTCTGTGAGTCTCTCTCTATTTTGTAAATATGTTCATTTGTGTCTTTCCCTCTTTTTTTCCTTTTTGGATTCCACGTATGAGTGATACCATGTGGTATTTTTCTTCCTCTTTCTGACTTGCTTCACTTAGTATGACAATCTCCAGGTCCATCCGTGTTGATGCAAGTGGCGTTATTTTATACTTTTTATGGCTGAGTAGTGTTCCATTGTAAATATATATCACAGCTTCTTCATCCGATTATCCATTGATGGACATTTAGGCTATCTCCATGTCTTGGCTATTGTAAATAGTGCTGCTATGAACTTGGGGTGCAGGTGACTTTTCAAATTAGAGTTCCTTCTGGATAGATGCCCAGGAATGAGACTGCTGGGTCACATGGTTAAGTCTATTTTTAGTTTTTTAAGGAACCTCCATACTGATTTCTATAACAGCTGCACCAACCTGCATTCCCCCCAGCACTGCAGGAGGCTCCCTTTCTCCACAGCCTCTCCAGCATTTGTCGTCTGTGCGCTTTTTAGTGATGACCATTCTGGCTGGTGTGAGGTGACACCTCATTGTAGTTTTGATTTGCATTTCTCTGATAATTAGTGATGCTGAGCACTTTCTCATGTGCCTGCTGGCCGTGGTATGTCTTCACTGGAGAACTGTTTGTTCAGGTCTGCTGCCCGTTTTGGGTGGGGCTGTTTGCTCTTTGCTGTTGAGCTGTGCGAGCTGTTTGCATGTTCTGGAGGTCAAGCCCTTGTCAGGCTCATCATTTGCAGGTGTTTTCTCCCAGTCCATAGGTGGCCTTTTTGTTTTGCTTATGGTTTACTCTGCTGTGCAAAACTTATCGGTTTAATTAGGTCCCATTTATTTTTCTTTTATTTCTGTTTCCCGGGTGGACTGCCCTAGGAGAGCACTGCTGACACTTACGTCACAGAATGTTTTGCCTGTGTTTTCTTCCAGGAGGTTTATATAGTGTCTTGACTTATTTTAAGTTAATTTTTTTGTGTGATGTGAGGGAGTGTTCTAATTTCACTGATTTCTATGCAGCTGTCCAGCTTTCTTGAAGGGTATTTTTGTAAGGAAAGAAAAATGATTCCAGATCCAGGCTTAGGATGTGGGAAGGAAGGGCAGTGATAGGCCTGTGAGTTAATCTATATACACTTTTTTTGTATCTAAACCATTTTAAAATAAAGGGTTTACTGTAAAAGATGCATAAGGATGTGTATATACATTAACATGAACACGTGTACTTCCATCATTGTTACATGTATGTACACTGATCCCAGATACTAACGTATTTTCAGGATAACTGTCAGCTCCCTGATTTATTCAGCCATCGTTTCATTTAGTAAATACTTTGGAGGGCCTACAGTTTGATAGGTATTAGGGCTGTAATGAACAAAAATGGTCTTTGCCCTCATGGAGCACATAGTCTAGTGGGGAGGGGAGGTATTAATTTAACAAGCACACAGGGAAATGTGCAATTGCAGCTGTCATAGGTCACACAGAGAAATGCTTTGAGAGGCTGAGTGTGCACCCCTCAGAGAGGTGAGGGCCGCTCCCTGAAGTCGGCGGACGAACAATGAAAAAGGGCAAAGTAGGTGAACTGGCGGCAAAGGCATTTTATGCAGAGTGACAGGGCGTCGCCACGCAAGAGCGAGGCTGTAGAGTGAGGCACACACATGAACTCACCTAATACGGAGACTGTCACTGGTCCTGGGCAAAATGAAATAGTTTAGACCAAAATAAGTGAGTTTTTCATAAATCTCAATTACTTTTTGGGAACAGGTTGTCAGTTTGAAACATGTCTTCCTATGTCTGTGGTTTCAAATGTCCGTTTTTTTTCAAAATGATGACTATCGCAGGTAAGACTTGTCTTAACTAAAATCGGTGTTTAATAAAGTAAGAGACTGTTTGCCTACGACATCCCAGCGAACTGTCGGAAGTTTAATGCTCCTGGAAACGCGTGTCTCCGAGTTGCTGAGCCAGAGCCTTGCCAGACAGGGCAGTATAGATATGTCCCTAAAACAACTGGGCACCTGAGGTCACTGAACGCCAGGGCGGCGGAACCTGTGACGTCACCAGCAGAATACAAATCCTTAAGGGGAGGTTCGATTTTGGAACGTCCCCAGGATCAACTCCTCAAGTCAAGGCTGACCTCACCGTAACTTGAAAATGTTCGTGGTATTAACGGTCTCTGTCACAGCGCTATTCACACGCACACGCACACACACAGTGTGGCAGGGAACACAGAGTGTAATCGAAGACTAAGGTAGTGGAAGAGACCAAGGGCTGCGAGCCTGAGTGGGGCGGGCACACGGCAGCGCTGGGGAAGGGGTCTGTAGGCACTAAGCCGGAGCTGGAAGGGCAGCCCCGAGCGCTCGCTGTCTGGTCACAGGGGTTCACGCCGATGCGCTGGCCAAGCCGTCCCTGCCGCGTGGAGGGAGCCAGGCTTTGGGGTCCACAGACGCGTAGGTCGGGGCTTCGTGAGCCCCTTCAGAAGCAGACCGTAGGTTAGCTTCCGTCCCTGCGAGGGCTCAGTGAGAGACTTCCGACCCGCCGGCCCTGAAAGCCCGCTGAGACGTCGGCGCTTCTCTTCTCTGCAGTTTCCCTCTAGATTAAATGATTGGATCCCTGAGCCGCTGGCAAATGCAGCATCGATTTGCTCACTGCACGTGAGGGTGCAGTCTTGGCTTTGTCCCGTTGTCTCTGAGATTCTTCCTCTTCTGAGAGATGGTTGTTTGGATAACAGAATGTTGGTAAAACTGGACAAAATGAGTTAAATAAATGTCCAGTGGTGACTAGACCATTAGGCAGCTCTGATTTGTCAAGCCAGAGATCTGCACACAGTCCCTCGTCTTTAAAAGAGACAGAGGAACAGGTAAAAAGCAGAGCTCTCTTTCAGCCACATTTCATGGGTCTGCCCTTTCCCATCGTTCTCTACCGCTGCAGCGCTAAGATAAACCCTGACCAATACACAGAGAATTTCATGTGCCACTTCTCCCAAGGTTACCTACTAACATAAAAGAATCTCCTCTGGTCTAAATTCTTCCATATTTGTCCTATGCACACATTTCCTTTATTGGAATGGAATATGTTGCTTGAAATGTATCATTTGTGTGTGTGTGTGTGTGTGTGTGTGTGTGTATGCAGACAGATAGATATGAATATATATAATATGCTTCTATTCTTAAAGGTTCATTGAGAATTAGTATGATCTTAAATGATAGTGTATGATTGCATATGTGGGATTTTCAAGACATACAATTCATATTATGTGAAAAGATTAGACTCTCTCCCTCAAATGTATCAGTTGTGAATGCTTTCAGTAACAAATTAGAGACACCCTGAGTGCTGATGGAGTAAATAGTTGAGTTTTTTCCCCACATGAAAATAATTGTGGATGGTGCCATTTGCTGGAAGCCACCATCTACCCAGAACCCATCCCCTGTCTGCACGCATTATCGCTACTGTTATCCACTACCCTTAGAGTACTGGCTTTTACCTTATGTTTGCCACCTCATAGTCACACAAAGGCTGCAGCAGTTCCAAACATCACTTCAGTGTTCAGAACAGGAAAGAAAGGGAAGCAGGTGTAAGTAGCACCAGCCACATGTCTCCCCTTTTATCAAGATAAGACAAAAATTCCCAGAATCCCTTTACTGGACTAATACTGCTCGCTTTCCTCTTGAACTCAGCCCGTGACAGTTCTGGGGGGTGAGTGGCTGGGCGGTGGCAT